GGGGGGGGGGGGGGGGGGGGGGAGGTGTGCATGAACCTGCTGCCCATGGACGAGGGAGCTATAGACCCAGGCATTCCCACAAATTGGTTTTTGAATTCAACTGCTAAGTGTGGTGCTGAGACGACATACCAAATACCCACCCATAATGTCACCACTAGTGGGGGTGGTAATTGTAATTGAAATGCAATGTGATAATTATGACGACAAACATGCTATCCAGGTCCCTGGAGGAAGAGGAAGACCCATGAATTGTCCTAATCACTGTCATTCATCTTCCTGTGTGATTTATGGGCTGAGCTGGTAGCTATGCAACAGGATTGGGGGGGGGGGATGTGGCAGTTTAGTGAAAACGAGAATAAAGGGGGTTGTGGGGGAGAGGACATTGTGGTGACTAATTCCATGAATCCTCAGTCGCCGAAGGGAAATAAACTGGATATTTCAATGAGAGGTACCCCCACCCCCCACCCCGAGATCTGATGAATGGCTAAATGCAAGAGAGCCGGTATTGTTTATTAAGTTCACTCCCCCCTTGGATTCACTTAGCCTAGACACTGACCACCGTGCTTTTCTGTGGATATTGAAGTAGGTGTAAGTACCGCTTCTCCTCTTCATCACCCACTGCTCCTTCATTCTCCTCACCACAATGAATCTGTTTTGAGACAGATATGTGTTTCCTATTATGAAGCCTGTGTATATTTTACAATAAAGGCACTATGCACACAATAGAAGGCATTATTTTAAGAATTCCCAATGATAATATGTGCGTCTACCAGAAGCTGTGGTTTTTAATTAATTTTAGTCGTGCGTTTTCTTAAAGTCAACTAATGCGGCGATATTTTGCTCAAGGCTTGTCCTAGAATTGTGTCCAATCTCCATTTTGTTCCATGACGAAAAAAAAAATCTCTCATATGTATTTTAATTTTTGTTATTTTGTTGCTTCGTGTAATGTAAATTAAAATCTAAAATATGTTTTTATGCAAATATGTTGAAATATAAGGCGCATTTTACATTCAAGTTGCCGCAGACGTTGATGATGGTCTAACGCGATGATGTGAAGTCGGGTGGGGCGTTACGGCGAGCAAAAAGTGCCCGTCAAAGTGTCCCCGTTAAAAGACATAGCAAATAAACAGCAAAACGTAACTGACCGTTTACATTAAGTCCTGTTGTGGGAGCTGTCCTCCGCCCGGTGCTGAAATCCGCCCAGTCTACCACACCTTTCATTCACTGCACCCAAACTTACAACCTGTTGCGGGAAAGTTGCAGATTTACATGCATAAACCGCACAAAACAGTTCGATGTTAACTAGAACAACGTATTTTCATTAGAATAAATACCCACTATATCATCACTGAAACAGAATTACTGCCCCGCACTATATTGAACTGCGTTAGATCAGAACGCAAATTTCAGCCATATAAGTAATTTTTTTGGCGAGTAAATTCCACTTCAGTTTCCGTTTTTCGTTATCAGAGTAATTGTTGTATCCTGTCTACGATAAGAGCAAACACTGAAAATAATTATTTCTCTTCTTCGGTTTGTACAGCGTGCGTTTACATCTAACTCTACGACGTAGACAATGCACAAATGGGATTCTTCAATGACGGATGTACTCACCATCTGACTGAGAAGGGATCAACAGGTGCCCCTGAAACCATTTTATCAAGAACGTGTGCATCTTTCTTTATCTCGTCTCCAGCTGCCATTGAGGCAGACGTCAATCTTTGCCCAAAGCCCTCCCACTAAAAGATGCACGTAACGTTGCCTGTGATGTTACTGGACGGCTTGAAGACAGATGAGATTCAGTATGTGTATATATACTGTGGAAACATCAGAGAGGGATGGATTGTTATGGATGACGACTTCAAAAACTAACCAATGAGCGTGCGATTTTATTTTACACCGATCGACTACCTCATAGTCACTAAGGTGCTGTCATAGAAGCCTGAAGAATCAGGTTTTAAGGAAAGTGCTATGTACTTGTCAAATTATTAATACTGAACACATACGGATTCTTGAGTACATATCGTTAATATATTTGATAATACATTTAGTCTTTTTATATTGAAAATAAAAATAAGGATTACCAATATATTACCAAAGGTAGAACATGATCAATATATTTTATTATGGTAGGATGTTAATTATTATTATTATTATTATTATTATTATTAGTGGCCATAAAGAACATTATTATTTTAAAAATGATAAGATCTTATGTAAAAAAAATACACGGGATATGATATGGGCAAATTCAACAATTAATTTCACAGTGAAGAGGAATTTAGGGGTGAATTGTAAGCAGACCAGTAATTTACAGTGACAATGGCTGCCGTGAGTTTATTGGTCATTTCGGAAGCACGGCCTGTAGGCTGTGATTTGAAGCTGTGTCTGGGGCTTCATTCTGGATCACAACGTCTGCTGTAAAAGAACGAAATCCGTGTGTGATTTATGGCCGGCGGTTGAGTCGAGGCGAGCGGACGTTAACCTTCGGCGACGGGGGACTGTAATGCACGTGGCAGCCCCCGGCTTCACAGGCATGTGCTCCAGCCTGAGGACCACAGATACAGAGATAATCAGGCCAGGGAGCGAGGCATGGCCACGCGGGTCCCTGGGGGCGGCCAGCGAGGTGAGAAGACCAAGGGCTCCTCACTCCGGCACTTTAGCGCTAATGAAGGCAGAGCGGAGGAGCAGAGCTGCGAAGGAAGGAGCAGCGCAAAAACAGGGATCAGTTTCATTATGTCGCCGGGCCTGGAGAAGGCGGCCGTCCAGCTGCGGAGGAGGAAGCCGAGGCAACGAAGCCGGGAGACGGGACCTAGGGATGGCTATTATTAGTGCTGAGCATGGAGGTAAAAGGCCATGTTATTTAACTGGCACATCCACCGCTCCATCCATTTGCCCTTTGAACAAATATCATCACTGAGTGAGCTGAGGTTTTCATATCATTCTCAGCCAGCGGTCTGATGGCCGTCAAAGGAACTATAAGGAAAAGCGCAATTCATGGGCCATAAATGTATCCGCTGTTAAAGAAGTCAGTGTCCGATGACAATGGCGATACTGGATCGGAGGAAAGGATATGTAACACTCCTACATATCCCCCCCCCCCCAAAAAAAAAGAAAAAAGAAAAAGAAATCTGTTCTTCGAGTATCAAATGAATGCGTTGTTTTAATGAGAACACACCTGTACTCACCTTCATGCAGGCGGACACTGAGCTCGGATGGCGCTTTGGAGAATGTGCCCATGCATCTCTTGCCCATAAGGTCTGTTTTCCTGATCAGTTTTGAAGACACGGGGGTAGCGTGGGGGTGGAAGGGCGGGGCGGCCGCACCATCAGGTGTTCTTTCGTTTTTCACCACCGGGTCCCCATTTTAAACGCTGAAGTGCTGATATTAGCATGTGAATACAGTGGGGAGGGCGGCCGTCGAGCACCGTCGCTCCCAACTTCACACAATGGCTGCGCGCCGCACGCGCCCCGGAGAGCACTTTCGCCAGAGGTGCGCAACATCTCTTCATGTCAGCTTATAAATAATCTAATTAGACCCCTTTCATTGTCGAGGACGTTTCCGAACTCATAGCGTGAGACAAAATTATGATTTAACATTCATTTGAAAAGCCCTGTAGTATCTTTATGGCACCAACCACACTGCGTCTACTGTCAGAATGATAGGGGTATTGTCTGCAGAGGACACCTTAGTACCGCTGCTCGGTTTGAAAACAGTTCTGGGCTCGTTTTAGTAGATGGTTATTCTAGTTCTACTTCACTTAATGATTTAAATTTAGAGAGACCATTTTGGCTCCATTTATTCCCATATCATCAAAGAAATTAGCCTGCTGTAAGTGTTCAGAGTTCAAAAACTCATGTATCACCTACTCTAGAAGTTTTTTTTTTTTAACTTACCTCTACCGATACTTTTGTTTTTTTTCCATCCATTTTATTTTTGAATTAAAAAAGAGGTGAAATGTGGTCTTTAGGAAAACTGAATACGCCGGGGCCCTAAAATACACTTGTGTCCTCTTAAATTCCCTTTTACCTTCTGCAAGTACATTGTTGTCATGGCAGTGAGTCTGACATCTTTGTTCTACAAGCTCAAAACGATTATTGTAAATGTAGCAGAACTCATTTGATATAATGAGTCCATTACGGACGATGACGTCAACACCTGCCTCAGTATATCTACCCAAATACACTGCGAATCGCAAATACTTCTGTCCCTTTCAAATATTTAGCTTCATTATTTTTCCCGATTTGCAACCGGATTGAAATTGTAAACAAATTACAAGATGCACGGTAAACTTAGACGATTCATTTTTAATTTAGCTCTTAAGTACAGTGTATTTTGAGTCCTTGTTAAACTATTGTGCTGTAGGTTTCCAGGTTGGCAAATATAGTACTATTGTTCTCTCGCTGTAATAAGAGAAAATTCTTATGTGAAGGAGACAGCACACTTAGTAATAATGTAGCAGCAGTAAAACATTAGCTACGACTTGCTGACGTGCTGCTATAACGAGTGAAGCATGTCTGTACGCCGCAGGAATATAGTAATTGTGACAGGATACATTGTTACTGAAGGATGAACGGCTGAGTGATCCAACTATTATTTAAAATATATTCACACCATGCAGAGTAAAGCTTTCAACCAAACAGTAAAGGAGTTAATATCAATCTTAAGACCTGGTTTCTAAACAGCGAATTGTGCCCTGCTAAAACGTTTGCTGATTTTATGCACATTCACCTTTTTCTACAAGAATATTGGAAATTGATTATGATTCGTAATATGAGCTAAGTCTGTTCCAAATTATGTGGCTGCCATACTGGAATTTGGTCAATTTTACCAAAAACGTTGTTCCATAGACATGATACTGTGGTCTTCGGATTCTTGCATATAAACAGCATTAGATAATCTAGTCCAACGATTGTCAACCCGTGGGTCGAGACCCAAATTTGGGTCGCGCAAAGTTCTGAAATGGTCGCGAGGCAGAGCTGGAAAAGTAAACATTTTAAAACCATGAAGCTCCTATGCTGATCCACGATCAGATTTCCCGGCCCCAATCCTTGAATAAATCTATATAAACGACTAACCAAGCCAAGAAACCAAACCATAGATTCTTAATTTAAAATTCACTGGCACATCCAAACAGATTTGTGCTATAGGCATTGATTGGCGTAAATTGCAGACTGTACAGCGTGCTTGATCATAGCGTTAATTTAAACCTATACTTAATATAAGGTCTAGTGATGTGGTTATCCGTTACTTCCTTACTACAAAGTACTCGGCAATCCAGAATTCGTTACTTAATACTCGTTACCCAATACTCGTTACCACTTGGGTTGGCTATGCATACAATAACGAATTATGCTACCTATACAACACTGTAGTCCGTAAGCCTACAGTGCTTAGCAGCGTCGCGTTAGTGTGGGTAATTTGACGCATCATGCTATTGCTGGTTGTAAGAACTGCAATCACGATTGTTTTCTCAAAATTGAGTGTCAAGATGCATGGCGCACGGAAGGCAAAGGAGAGCGGGATGCCAGGAGCCGGGAAAGAAACGGGGTTTTAATAAAAAGGCAATGCAAACGCAGACTGACAATACAATGACCAGACTGGGGAACCAAACTAAAACACGGACTAAATACACTGAACTAATGACAGCAACAGGAAACAGCTGGTGAACACGGGGAATCCACACGCGGTTATCAAGGGGGCGTGGCACACGAGATCGTATGAGCGGGTCATGACATTGAGAGCCTATATAAAAAATTTGGCAAACTGAATGTAGATAAGAAAGAAAAATCTATATATAGACTTATCATGCAGACAGTCAACACAAATGTGCTGTCAAGATGCTATTATCTATTTATTATAGTTTTGAACAAAGATCGTGGTTGTTAAGGAACATTTGCACTTTTTCAGCTGACAGAAATATAATGGATATCGGTACCGCAGTCGGTAGTCATTCAGTTGATGACTGTATCGTTAGTCGGTACTTTCAGTCGGATAGTGGAAACGGTTTTATCGAGTGATTACTCAAGATGGCAGGAACCTGGAGGCAAGTCTCAGGCTAGACCAGGGGTACCCAATATGTCGTTCGCAAAGGTAGTCTGGGTAGATTGTATGGCATAAAAAAAACAGGATGGATGACGAGTTCAGCCGCTCCAGTTGCTGCAAGACTCTAGAAAGTTACCGAGTCGCCTACATAGCCTCCAGTTTATTTGTACTAAACTTAAGAAAGAAAGTGTATAAAATTATTGGGGGAGCAGGACCAAGTAAGAAGCCAAAAACCTACCACTTCCATACGGAATGGGAGGAGGACTTTTTCCACCGTGTCATATTCGAAGTGCGTTTGCCTCATCTGTCAGCCGACCATTGCTATTCCGAAGAAGGGAAATGTGTAAAAACTACGACATTAACTTCCGTCCGAAAAGCGAGCTGAGAAAGAGAAAGGTGAAGGAACTAAAATCCCAGTGCAATTAAAAAATACTTTCTTACTTTCTTAAAATTAATAATAATAATACTCAATATTCTTATACATAAATATATAGTAGGTAGATAATTTTGACTTGGTCATGTATAAGTAGCTCGCAAGCTGAAAAAGTGTGGGCACCCCTGGGCTAGACAGAACCCCCCGTGCACCATACAACATGCAGGCAATGAGCGCAGGCTTCAGATAATGGAAACCAGCAGCAACTGCATGCCAGCCAGAACTGCCGCAAACAACAGTCTGCAAGGCGAGTGCCGATTGGGCGGTTTGATCAGTCATTTCGTTACTGTCAGCAACGAATCCTTGAACGGCTGAATACTCGTAACGATTCGTTACAGCCTGGTATTCGTTACTTACGTACTCATTACTACTCAAATCTACACCACTAATAAGGTCGCGACTGATCGAGCTGGCGTGGTGAAAAATGGGTCGCGGTGCAAAAAAGGCCGAGAACCACTAGCCTAGTCAGTTCAGAAATGTATAAACCAGAAAGAAAATGTCATGGAGTTTAACGTGTCAACCTTTTAGTTGTATTGGTAAACGTCACGTGAGCACCAAACCACAAGCAGCGGTTTCTCCATTCATGCGCCTCTCAGTGGAAACGCGGTTACGTGTAGCTAAGACAGAGGAAAAGCATGCTTGAAAGAAACACGGATAGCAAAGATTTAAATAAACTACTTTTCATAATATAGCCACTACAAAGGAAATTGAATAGTAGCCTACATCATTACCCGCTTTTACTCATCTTCGGACAGGTTGTAAAGTGACATGAAAAGAGCGGCAATAAATGCGTCAACAGTGAATTTTCAACTCAGTTCTTCTGTATATTTTATTGGTTTTATTGGTAGCATAGAAATCGACTCGTGAAGCCCCAAACCGAATACTTCAAAGGAAAATACAGATGCAGATATATTAAAGGAAATAAAAATGCGTTTTGTAGTCTACATTTACAAACAGAAAAAGAGCTAGATTTAACTAAACCATTGCACTAGATAAATAAGAACTGAACATCAACATTATTTTGGCAACGATTTGTAAATGTTACTATAATAAAGGTTAAAGCTTTTCCAATTTCCTGCAAAGCCAACTACGAAGAGCACGTTAAAAAATCGTTTGTGCAGAAACGCCAGGTTTCCTTCTCATTCAAGAGAGTTATTTTATCTGTGACTACGGGGTGAGGAGAGGGTGTATTTTCAGAAATAAATTACCCGCTGCGATCATTCTTAAAGGAAATGGTAAGGGGAGGGGGATCCAGCATATGAACCCAGTAGGTGGGACGAGAAAGTCAACCCGGTCGCTCTTTATACCCGGTGACCCAAAATGCGAACAGGAGGAGGGAGGATTAGGTAAATTAACGAATTCCTCCTATTCTTTATTCGGCTTTAAAATATAAAACGTTTCTGTTCCTGAAGGCGGTGCGTCAAGTGTGATTACGTGATGCAGATACGGCACCTTCTACACGGATTAAAAATAAGTTTTAATTTACGGATAACACTGGACGCGACAACACAGGATGACCCCGGGGTACGTAATCAAGATGCTTTACCGGCTGAATGTACTGGGGCGCAGTCCTCAGACAGCAGATTCATCTCAGGTAATCGTGGTAAAATAGTCAGCCTGAAGATTTTTTTGCGTTCAATGACCAGCTGCACGTAGAGAAATCGCCCGTTATAAAGCGTCTAGCGCAGGATTCGAAAGTGAGAGGGATCCATCACGCCTGCTGTCTGCCCCAATAGTGCATCCGCGCCATGCTAAAGCACGCCAGGGTGGACGCAAGACTACAAATAATCGACAACGGATTAAAATGCATTAATTCAAGTTTTAATCAAACAAGACTTTTCAAACCGTTGGTGCATGGCCTTATCTGCTGTCCTGCTTTAACAACATGTATCATAATCATTGGCTATGGATAGCGTCTTTTGTGTATAAAACTAATGAGAATTGTTTTTGATATAGTCCAGAACTGTGTTATTCGTGCATACGAATAAAAATAAAACAATGCTTGTTTCCTGTATGTAATCAGTGCGATGTGTATTATTTCAGGGTGTTTGTGTTTGGAGCGTAAATTAATAAAACAGATCGCTTTTTCTTATATGCTATTGTTACTTCAGACCCGGGAAACGTGAAAGGACCGTGACTCGCGCGCCGCGCAGTTACCATGGTTTCGGTGTTGGCGCACAGAAAAGAGCCCGTGTTATTTGTCTTCGACGGCAAGAAACCACGGTCCTCCACACACTCCTTTGTTGATCAAAATAATTTCCTACAAGTCCACACGATTGCAGCAATATCACAGCCCTAAGTAGGCTTGGTTACCACCAAACGTCATCACCAGCTGGCTGTATCTCTCGCTCACGAACCTTTTGTTGCCGTCCTGCGCAGGCCCACTGACGTGCAACTTTGATACCACATCAAAAGGAACAGCCACTGCTGGGTAAATGTATTAGCGCGTGAAGATTTAGGATGCTCGGGGTATTAAACATATTCATTTTCTGTGATATGCTATAAATCCGCTTACAAAGAAAGGACATGGAACATCCGTAAAAACTATAAGCTCGTAAATGGAAAAAGCAAACAGTACAAAGGAGCATATGCAAAAAAGTGTGAATAAAACGTACCCGCGGTGATAATATACGCAACTGACTTATGGAACCTCTCCTGCCACCGCCTAGAAATTTAGAGCTATTCAAATGTAAAATGTCGGAAACACTGACACCATGTGGTGTTTCAAGCGAATATGTGGCGGGATTAGCATAAAATTAAGAAATATAAATGCACAAACAGTTTCAAGGAATTGATTTGGCGCTGAATACCGTATCTTAGAATTTCCGTGAGACAAAATTCCACTGCGTTGGCCGGGAATCGAACCCGGGTCAACTGCTTGGAAGGCAGCTATGCTAACCACTATACCACCAACGCTACACAGAAATCACAGTCAGGTCGGCCCTACAGTACATGGCAATGCAAAAAAAAAAAAAAAAACTCGTGACAAGGGCTCCTGGTACCTTTATTAATAGAATTAACAAATATTCTAGATGGGGAGATTGGACGTGTATGTGTGGCTTTTCCCACAGTCTTTCCCAAGATCGACATAGCAGAAGATGCTTTCCTTGGCGATAAAAGGACCACGGAATAGATTAAGAAGTTTACAGATGTTTATTTCGTGGTGACTCCTACATGATAAGGAAATGTTTTACATTCTTTTCCAACACTGACATTTTTTTTTCCAAGTTTAATGTGTAAAGTTACACCAGCATCTGAGAACAGGCCAAAATCATCGATATACATTATACCGGCATAAAAACTAATCTGTAGACACAGTGGACACAAGCAGTCTGAAGATTAATTTAGCTACAAGAAAGAAAAAAAAAAAAGACAGAACAAAAAAATTGAAATAATGGATGCACTGGCTGCCAGGAAAATGGCTCAGTAGAGAATCATGTTCTGTGTATATATTGTATATATATGTATGTTTACATATATTTATGTCTGCATTAGTATACTGTACAAAGCTCAGCCTGTATGCTTTCATGGAACATCCCTCCCAGTATAAACATATACAAATATAAACAGCACACACCCAGCCTCTCGAAGCTAAAACGATGCTGGACGTTTAAAGAGTCTCACGTATCCCAATCCTCCAACGAACGGCAAGACAGGTCTCTCCTTGTGTCGCACCACTTGTGAGGTGGATGTTAAAGTGGGCAAACAAACTGCTGAACGCACGTCCTTCAGAATGTGTGTGTGTGTGTGTGTTTGTCAGAGAGTTTGCATGGCACACAGTCAGGCACTGCCGGTCAAGCTGGGCCCGGTTAGTCCTTCCCCACCCTCCCCCCCCCCCACCACCACCACCCTCATAGCACGTGGGGGAGGGTTAAGGGGAGGCAGGAGGCTTGCTGCTGTAGCACACCTGGTACCGGTTGACGGGTAAACCATTGACCTGGCGGGTGACACAGCTGGTCTTACAGGGGATCATGTCCTCCTCGTCGTCGCCCATGAGCCAGTCGGCGACAGCGCGCTCCGCCGCCGGTGTCACGTGCTCCGACAGCCAGCCCTGGTGCCACCTGTCAAACCTGCCATGTTGGGAACGAGCCACGCTGTGCTGCAACTGTGGATCAGCGAAAGAAGAGACCTGAGAAGAGACCTCAGCACCAATCAGGGGACCCACATCACAGACATCTCTTTTATAGCTAAATATTACTTTTATTTAGCAGTGCCAGAGAGAGGGTCAGACAGTCCAGGGGGGCTAAGGGGCTTGTCCCAAAGCAAGAATAAGAATCTGGCTTAAGGGCACAACAGCAGGTACCCAGCTGAAGCTTGATCCATTTGGTCACACGTCTTCGCCTGCTGAAGCCACGATGCCGGCCATGTTCATGATCAACCCCCCTTTTCCCAGAAGCACAACGTACCTTGCGAGCTTTGACGAGGGCACCGCGCCGGTACATGTAGTCCTCCGAGTTCATGACGAACACCATCTTGTGCGTGTGCAGCTTAAAGCGGCAATCCAAGCTGCCGGCACTCTCCACGCCCAGCTGGCGGCGCCACTCGCGGCGAGAGCGCATGGCCTCCATCTGCCGCAGCTGCCAGCGCCGGAAGCGGCGCAGGTTCCTGGGGGGGGGGGGGTGGGAGCAGACCGGACGTCGGGCCAGTGTCAACAGCGGACAAGGCTATCCTTGCAGATGGCATGTTACTGCAACGTCCACAAGATCTAATCTGCAGAAACTCAGGAGTACATCCCCAGACCGCCACCCGGGAATTAGGCCTCTAACCTTTTGTTTACATTTGCCCCTTAACCATTGTACCTCTTCCAGTCCTTGCAAACCCCCATGGATTTAAAGAGTAGCGACCAACAGCGGATTAAATGAAATGTCAACACTGGTGTAGCGGGAACAGAGCAAGCATGCAGACAGTGATGGAGGTCTGTGCTGAGGGTCACACCTGGGCAGGAAGACCGGTTTGAAGCAGTATCCTTCCATCTGAGAGCACACCGACTCGGACCCGACAAACTGCTCCATGTAATTGGACAGGTACTGTGCAAGGATACGAGGCGGAGGCGGGGGCAGGGGTGGGGGAGAGAAATCAGTCTTCTGCTTTCCATTCATAGCTTTACTTTATCCAGCTTTCTGCCCCAGACATGTGAATTTCAGGCAAGTGGTACCTGCACATCCAGCGGGTCGTCTCCCTGGGCCTCCTCCGTGTCCAGAAGCTCAATCGTCAAGGTCACCTGACCTTTGCTTTGAATGAACATAACCTGCAGCAGGAATGGGAACCAGGCAAAGCATCATGAGAGATGTAACGGTCAGCCTACAAGCTCCATGTAAATGTATGTTCAGCTTTAAAACGACCACGACTACAGCCGCTTCTTCTGCAGATGCTCTACCTTGAAGCAGTTTTCATCAGCCATGACCCGCTCGGCCTTCCACTGGTAGCTGGTCTCCCATGCAGCCCGCACGCACTGCGAGGACAGGTTGCCCCCAGCGGCACCCCTCTTACGCTCAGCAAGGTAAAGCTCCACTACCTGCAGGCAAACCTCGTCGCTGACGAGGTGCTGCAGCTGTGGGCCGCAAGGACACCAAGAACTTAGACCTGGGGCTTCTGTACCACTGAGGAAACTCCTCCATGAAATCAACTGAACAGAAGCAGATTGAGAAGCAGGACCACATCCCACCTGTCTGATGGTGTTCTGGATGAGCTTGTCAATGGTGAAGCCGATGTAGGCATGGATGGTGAACATCTCACGCAGCGTGTCCTCGTACTGCGTCGAGTCCAGGTTACCGTCCAGCAGGCTGCGCACCATGTCCAGGAAGGCGGGGTAGTATTCCTCAAGCTCCACCTCACCTGTGTGACATCACAGATATGGCTCTGAAACCCAAAAGCGCATTTGCTAACCCGCATAACCCACTTGCATTGGGTTACTCTAATGCTTCCCAGTTGGTTAAACTGCAGGGAACTGGGAGGGAGCAAAAATATGAACTGACTGGTCCCTATGTACCAGATTGAGAAATGCTAGTTCTAGGAGTTGTGGGATTCTCCTGGTTTTGGATAAGGCAGCAAGGTTTTCAATGGGGGGGGGGGGGGCTTACTAGGCTGTTTGAGGCGTAGCTCCATGGCAAGGTCGGTGGCCTTGTCCCGCCGGCCATCGGCCAGCAGCAGCCTCTCACGCTCCTTCTCGGCGCGGCGCTCCAGCAGCTGTCGCTCGGCCTGCCGGTACACGCGGAGCAGCCGCGAGCACAGGGTCTGGTGCAGCCGCAGGAAGAAGTACCAGTTGTTGTTGACAAAGAACAGGTTGTAGACGTCGTCTAGCTCTTTCTGGTGCTCCGCCTCCGGATCACACAGGTCCAGCTTCTCGCCGCTACTGGCAGTCGGGGCGGCTGGACCAGGCTCGGCGCCATGCGGCGAGGTGCAACGTCGCCTCCGAGAGTCCCCATTGAGCTGGGGTCCGGCCCCAGTGCCCGCCCCTCCCGGGGCTACACCCCCACCCTCCTCGGTGTCCGCCTCCTCATCCGTCCACTCTTCCGTCTCGCTCAGCTCACCACGGCGGGCGAAGAAGAGGTCGGGCACAAAGTGCTGCATGATGCGTTTGATGTGGTCCTTGTCGTCCTTGTGGATGGTGGGCTGCCGCTTGACGTGGTAGATGATCAGGGAGGCGGCGTCCTCTAGGATCTGCTTGTCCTCGTACACGAAGATCATGTGAGGCTCGCTGCTGGTGCTGCCGCCGCCCCTGTCCCTCCCCTGCTGCTGTCCGCCTCCTCCTTCCTCTGTGCTTTGCTCCTGCCGCTGTAACCCAGATCAGAAGCCTCCATGAAGTCAAAACGGCAATAGCACTCATTCTTAAAGTGATAACAAACCAACCAACCAACCAGCAAGGCGAGAGATCATTGCATGCTGCCAATCACAGACAGGTCTTAACCCAAATTCTGGCTCCCATTGGGTTAGACCTGCCATCAGCCAGGGTTTCAAAGGCTCCTTCTGTCCATCTGCCACAGCCGGGATCAGTTCTTACCTCATCGTAGACACTCTCGATCTCGTTGAGCAGGCTCTTGGACCGCAAGGCCTTGATATCATTCTGCTTGAAGTTGACACCCTGGTGGTCGAGAGATTTGAGGTAGGCCTTCTCGTACTGCTCGCGCCAGATTTTGTTGAAACCCTGCTGGGCCTCCCGCCATTCTTCTTCCTTCGCCTTCAGCCTGTGGTGAGAAAGGCGGTAGGATCATCATATCATCACTGGCTTGAGAGACATCAAGCCCCACCCCCCCTACATTACAAACTCAACTCTATGAACCCAAAGCACACCCAGTCAGGTAATGCACCATTAACTCCTGATGGTGTCATTTCACAGAGGAAAAGCGTGAACCTCTGGGCTAAGTGCTCTGACCTCTTGAGCACCACGGGCACAGCGGTGAGGGGGCTCCTCTTCAGGCCCTCGATGACCTCGGGCGCCTTGTCCCCGTAGATGCGATAGATGGCGCGCCGTTGGATGACCTCAGAAGTGCCGCCCAGACAATCGTCAAGGCGGAAGCGGTCCTGGTCCTCGGGGGACAGGCGCGACAGCTTTTTTTGCACACTCTCCAGGACCCGGATGGTGGCCAGGTTGGTCTCCAGGACCACGTCCAACTGACAGACCAGATGAGCAAGATCAGTATGACTAATCACACAGATCAGGCATCTCCTTTCATAAAACTCAAAACCCATTTCAACAAGAATAAAAGAAATTCAATGATTAATTAAAATGAGTTAAAAAGTTTGACAATGGTTTATTTAAGCGAACTCTGTAAGAAGATCAATGATAAGATTATTCTCTCAAAATTTCCTCTGATCTCTATAAAACAGGCAAACGTGCATAGAAATGGCAACAGCATCCATACAGTAGTAGCGCGTGGGGGGAATGAAAAAGGAGACCGTTAAAGTGCGAGATAGACCGTTTAATATCTACACATCGGGTTTGCAGACTGAGCTGAATCAGAATAAACAGTCAGCATGACAGCAGCTGCCTGCCTATGTGCAAAGCAGATGGAGAGGCTTGTTAGGTAGCCGCTCACCTCGAATCGCTCGTCTTCACAGCGATGGAGCTGCTCCTCGTACGGCGTCTTCTTGGAGCTGACGAAGGTAGAGTCCTCTGACCACGACGGGAAGGACACCCACGTGTCGTTCAGCACCTGCCCTCGCATATAGAGACAGGAGCCTTAAGACGGTGATGGGGAGGCTACCCGCCCCCCAGCTCAGACAGCATAAAGGACAAATCGAGGAAAAGCACATGAAACCAGGGGACACCCGACATGGTGTGCATCATTTGACCTGGAAGACATAACATTCAGTGCTGTAGTCTAGGGGATCCCAAGCCTGGGTGTATGGACTCGTACTAGTCAGTATTCCACTGTGAAATGATGCGGATTTTGTCAGGCATTGGTTAATTACCAAAATAAAGGAAATATTTTCAATTATTTACAACCCCTAACGTTCACATGTCCCATTTGCATCTGAAAAAGACAAAAACTGTTAATCTTATGAAAATCGCTGATTGATCTGTTGCCCCCCCCGGTTGTTTTACTGGTCTGTAGAATTTCTGTCTCACGCAAAATGGTCTGCAGACAAAGGCTTGTGAACTCCTACTGTAATCTACTGACAGATCCCCTCTGGCTTCAAAACACTGTCCTTAGCACCACCAGTACAACCGGCTGCCCCAGCGTCCTCCATCAACCTCGAACCCTCTGTAGGGAAGCTCCACCCTCCTCCAACCCAGGCATGGCCCCCTCGCAGGAGCCCCACAGTACCTCCTTGCAGATGGCCGTGCGTCCGCTGCACTTCGGCTGCTGGTAAGTCTTGGGCAGGGCTCTGTAGCTGGAGCCCAGACGCTTGCAGGAGGCATAGTCAATCTCCCTGCCGCCGCTTTCCATGTAGCGGTCCGAGAGCCCCGACAGCGAGTGAGACAGCTCCTTCTCTCCCAGGAATGACTTGAACTGAGTGTAGAGCTCCGGGAACTTCCTAGAGGTAGAGCAGGTCAGTTCATGGGTTAGAAATCAGTGCATCTGAACATGCCTACATACCCTCAAAAGTTCTAATTAACACCCCCAGACCTTCTCATGTGGATCACCTGGGGCCCCAGAGACTGCTTCCATTCATCCACTGGACTACCTGCTTCAACCAATCAACTAAGATACCAGCCCTTTTTTAGAAGTCAGTTCGCTCAGCGATGCAGAAAATGGAAATCCTGCGATATTTAGCACAGCTACTGCCAGCTAATCACTGTAATTTTTATACCTGGCAGTTGTCTTTGAGTAGGTTTCATTTTACTTGCTATGCCTTTTTTTACTCAAGCTGTGTATGTTGGAACAGGACACACTCAAATGTCTTCAGGAACCCACGAAATGCCCCTCATGTCAAAACACTCACCCCAAAAATGGCGTGACCAGCTGTAGAAGCTCTGCCCCTGATACCACCTCCTGATTGAACAGTGCAATGCAGCGCAGGAAATTCTCATATACCTCCTGGCTCTTGAACAAGCGCCGGACCTGAGTAGGGCAGACAAAGGAGGCTGTACGTGGGCAAGGAGCAGAGCGCCAAGCCAACGACATCCCAGTTCTCCTCCAGCATCTATTTTCCGCCGTTTCATACCTTGTCAAAGAACGTGAATTCCCGCAGAACTCCATGCTTTCCAACAGCAGCAAATGATTGGTCCTTAGAACAAGACAACTTCATCTTTTTCTATGGAACACAAACAACAGAAAACGTTATTTCTGTGCCTGTCAAACTAGATCACGACTTGAAATTTATAGGAGAAATTCAGAGTGTGAACATTTGAGGTTTTGAAACTCTGATGGCTCAGGTCATACCCTGGATGTAGGTGAGAGTTTGCCATCTACTGAACATGGAGGAAAAGGGCACCAAACAGCCGAAAGCAGCAGAGATGATGGATACAAACAAGGACTCATGACCTGCAAGAAGCATGGACAGGCTACAGAGGCACCCAGCACTCATTAAATTCCTCAAAACTAATTTACTCTAATAAAAAACAAACATTCTCAGTATAACTACATAGCCCGGTTGCTTTTAGAGAGCAAACATCTTCTATAGAAAATATACATATCCTGGGATGCATCCTAACCGGTGCACAATTATGCATTCACCACATGAAACAAAATGAAAGGTAATTGTCATAGCAGTGCAAATGCACATAAAGCAAATATATATTTGCACTGCCATGACAAGAAGTCGCTGTGTATTTGAACCCTCATCCAGCTAAGGTTTACCTCGTTCGCGGTATAAGGAACGAAACGAAATGTAAGGAAAACCGGAGCAATCCACACAGCAGGTAAGGCCGCGCACTCCCCCCAGGAACAGAGGGGGACCAAACACAGGTGAAGAATTCCCCAGCTTATCCACTGCATGTCTCTAAAACATAATCACTACGACAGCAAAACAGGGGCCGCAGTCCATAGCTTCCAGCCAGGCTGCGAGATTGGACTACAGCGAAAGGCTATTCTGTGGTTACTAGAAAAATGCTGCTTTCCATCTCAAAACAGATCACAGTCCAACACACAGTGATGGTGAGGACACAAGCCAAAGACAAGGACCCTACAGCAGTCCTGCAATATACCAATACTGATTATGGGGGGCTTTTTGCCGTTTCAGAAAAGGACATCAACATGAGTACCATGGGCTCCTAAAGCGCAGAATAATTTCAACCTGAAGCGTCACCCCGCAGCTGAGAAGGGGTACCCCGACATGAGGAACAAAACCGCAGGATGCAGTGGAAAAGGGCTGATCCAAGAGCTTCCACCAGCACCCAAGCGTCCCGCGAATCAGTGGTTGCTAGCGGTCATGCACCACCTCCCCGCCTAATCAGCACTAAGCTGCAGCAGACAACAGCAGAGCAGGCGAGGTGGGAACAGATTAATCCCAACCAGTAAACTGGGGTATCCCAGCAGGTAAAGCTGCTGCCTCACACTTTCCCAGCTGTGCGCTGGAAAGCGGCCCCAGAGAGAGGCACAGTGCTGACATGTTCACGACATGCGTCTCCTCCCACAGGTTAAGGACATGCAGTTCAGCTGAACGGACGCCATCCTTAAAATATAACACATTTGAAAGTAGCCTCCAGTTTAACCTGTATGGGTCAGGCTGCAAGTACACATGCAGTGTATCTGAAGGCACAGATGGGTAAACTGAGCAGAAAAGAAAAACTGCAAGCCGAGGCCAAAAAGACCCAACCTTCACCTAGACGATACTCTCAAAATAGCTGCACCTACATTTCAAGCAGCCATCTTCCAGAAAGTTCCCCCTCCCAAACCCAGAATAATTCTGCGCTCCGACAATCACGCAAGTTTTCTGCAGGCCGTATTCACGCCGACGCGCTTAACTGCTGGTTAACTGCTCCATTTGGATGAGTGTAACCAAAGCGAAGAGCCGAAATCATTCATTCAAAACCCTGCCGTTGCCCCACGGCCCGTCTGCTTGCCGTCAGGCTGATTACACCCCGTTTCCCACGTGTACATTCACAAGCTCACATTAAAACCTTCACTGGCTTCACTACTACCTTTGCTTCATCAGTATATTAATCATAACTGAACAAACAATATCTCTATAATAGAATTCAGGAACACGTTGTTTCCTTTAAACCTGAAAAAGGCACATGAACTAAAGATAATTTAAGATATTTGCCGTGTATATGAGGTACATCGTACCATCTTGCTCTCCATGACAGATTTTAGGGTGAGAGCAGAGTCTCAGCCAGTGTGCAGGACCTCCTGCCCAGCTGGCGCCAAGGGCCCGATCCTGATATTACTATCCACAGGAATCGAACCTATGATATTCTGGATATAGGCAAAGATTCCTCACCTAATGAGCCACACACCAGCTTAAATTGAGCCTACTGCTCTCAGATCTACACTGAATGTCACCAGTCACGACAGGCCAATCAAAATCAACATTTCTTTGCAAGCTGTTTTAGTAATAAAACAGGTACCTTTAGTAGCGGAGTCATGTGGGACAACAACATGGGTCTGGACCTCTTCTTGCTCTGCTTGGATAACTCCTCATCCTCCATCTTCTTCAAGTGGTCCTTGCCTGTTAGTGAGCTGCCAGTGAACTGCAGGGAAGAAAGTCACGATATCGGAGATGGAAGCGAGGCTGTCTCAGGACCGGACACGCAGGATGAAAGAACAAGGATAAGTCAAGCTGAAGCCTCACAGACAGATCCCCCACAAGCCACCAGGATGGCGCCAACAATAAAAGCCCCGCGGCACCAATTCTGAATATACTGTCGGACACACAATGCTGATCAAAGCCTTTAAAGCTTTAGTGTAGCGTTTCCCAATCCGGTCCTTGGGGACTCTCAGATAGATCTACTGGGAGCTGGAATGGAGAAAAAATATGGACTATCTGGCAGGGAACTGGGAGGGAACGAAAACATGGACTGTCTGAGTCCCTGAGGACCAGGTTGAGAAAAGCTGCCTTAGAAAAATGAAGCATGTACAGATATACCGCTACTAACTAGTGATCTCTTGGCATCTGGTAAGAACTGTCCGAACTCTGCCAGCAGGTCTTCCTGTCCCTTGAAGAGGCTGGCCACCTTGGAGAAGACCTCGTCCTCTGTCATACCACCACGGCCCCGCGCCTCCTTCACTTCTAGCTGCTCTTTCTGGAAACACACAGAACGACCCTTTACTTGAAAAATCAGACTCACTTTCGCACCGTGCAACTTCCGGATATATTTCAGACAACTTGCAAAAGACGTTATGCATTCAAAAAAAGTGAAACCAAATCTAAAAACCCGGGCGCAGACACATACTTGGTAGGTGTGTAGTATCTCCAAGAAGGATCTGTAGATTTCTGGATGGTCCAGGAAACGGTTTTTGATCTTGTTCACGTAACTAATGGCGCTGTCAAACTCCACCGGGCTGGGCTCAGAGCCTGGCGGGGAGGACGAGGAGGAAGACGGAGGATGGGACTGGCCCTCCCGGGCGGGCAGGGTCAAGGAGAGCCGGCTAGGGGGGTCCGGAGGGCTGGAGGCCGAGGGGCTGGCGTAAAGAGAGGCGGCGGCTTCTCCGTGAGCGCAGCCGTCCTCGGCAGGGGAAGACGCCGAGACCCCCCCGGCCACACCGACCGCCACTGCCCTCCCTGGGCCCGGGGAAGCCTGCATGGGGGACAAATCCAGCTTCCATCAGCACACCCCCGCAACACGAGCACCGATCGCATTACTACTGCAATCGCTGGGGCTACTTAGACTGGAGAAGTGGGTGCAGATCTTCGGCAGGAAGCAGAGTTGCTCGCTAAATAAGAAACTCTCCTGCAAACAGAGTCCTGGCCATTTTACCACGTCCCACACCCAACTCAGTAACTCCCACAACCGATACCCTACAGGAGAACCCAGACTGCATGGTGGAATGGTGCAACTTCGGTAATAACAGAAGGCGATTTAAAAACAACCGCAGTACAACACGCATTAAGACAGACAGGAAACGTGCATCGAGTTTTCCAACCTGGCCGGAGAGGGGCGACTGGAGGGACACCACCCCATTTTTGGGGACCTCTATCCGGTACCCTGGGGGTAGAAAGGCATTGAAACCCAATACGAGGTCAGGGTGACCGTGGAAGAGCTGGGACACGCGATTTATTACCCCCGGTGTATCAATGCTGTGGGTGAGAAAAAGAAAGATTGTAGTTCAAACAGAACTGCGTGTTTAGATGTGTTTCTGCGTTTAATACATATGTGTTTATGAAAAAATCTCTCACCATTTCAGGCAACTCGAGCCATCTCGGGCGTATTGGTGAAAAATTTCTAATACTTCATCGGTTTCACTTTACTTTTTTTGTTTTAAGAAAAATGCAGACAGAACAGAATAATTACATACCTTTGTGATTTGAATTCCTTCATGATGTCCAAAAATTTGTTGTATATCCCTGGATCATTCCCAAATCGTATTTTCACCTGGTCAAGGTAAGATAAGGCATCTTCTACCTAGAGTTAAAAGTAACAAGATAAGCTTGCCCGAAGTTTTAAGTTAAGAGGAACTTAACAAAAAAATTATTTAATTAATGAGTCACACAAACCGCAGCAACACAAGTCATATTACGGGACCGCTTCTGTCCAACCACACAGCAAAGACGATGTCGGAACCGAGTGCAAAACTGGAGAGAGGACAGCCGCCAATGAGGCGCAGTTTCTGCTACGACAAACCTGCCTTTTCCCAAAAGCCAAGAAGTGGCTATTCGCAGAAGATGAGTTATGCCTACATCCTTGCTGACGAGGTAGTTAATACACTTTCCTCTGCTAGTGATGACCCCTTCCCATAATTGCGCGTCAACGAGCGAACATATTTCATGCTTACATCGAAAGGGCAAGATAGGCAGTACGTGTATGTGTATGGATGTTGTCCAAGACTCTTTAACAAAGCCCTGTGCACAGAGGTAGCATCAAGCTTCAGGGGACACAGAGCCAGTCCATAGGGGGGGAAGCGGCACTGCACACACACATCGGTGTGGTGCTTTCTTTTCCAGACCGCTCCCATACTCCAAAACTAGAGCTACATCCATCAGCCCGGGGACGATGCGACAGCCCTGGGTACAGGACATCAATGACACACTGAAACATTTGAGATTGAACAGAAGTAATTCACTGGGCAGCTGCATAAAGACACAAAGTAGCATTACGCAGCCGTGTGTTAACATTATACCAGCTACACCGCAACATCGTTGCGACCGCCTATGTATATTTGGGGAGGGGGGCAATCAAAAAGGCTTGGTACTCAGCTTGATAGCTGGTACGCGCTTTTCTTTTGCTCCTCTCACTGCCGAAATGGAAGCACAAAATGGCTCTGGACACCGCAGGACTTCAACGCTTTCCCCCCTCCCCGCCCCGCTCGCCGCCACCGCTTACCTTCAGCTTCTGGAAGTGCTGCTGCTGGACCTGTTTCTGCACCACGTACGCCTTGTCCTGCACTTGGCTCATCTGCTTCATGGTGCCGTGCGTCTGTATTTTCGCCATTGTCTCTTCAGCCCCCCCCTGCTCCTCCCGCTCGGCTCCGGATTAGCCAGTTAGCTCTCCCTCGCCAGCGAGCTGAAAGAAAGCTACGGCTGCCGTTAGCTAGCCAGCTAGGGCCGAGGCGACGGCGATTTGAGTTCTATCGGGACCACTTTGTTCAAAACGCCATTCCTCGGTTAGCTACTACGTAGCTCCTCCCACGTTACTGTTTTTTCCCCAGACCCAAAGTCAGTGGGAAGTAGGTCTTAGACAATGGTTTAAAATTATTAAAAATTACTAATGAACCCCTGTCTCTTTAAATTCGGCGGCAGCCGTGCAGACTGGGCGTCCGGAAATGTACGTAAAACGGGGGAGCGCAGTGCACATGCGCATGGGCCGTAATTCCCAATTCGACCACGCATGCGCACACGGGTAAGAAATCGTCGGTCTTATCAGTCAGCTTGTCGTCCCCCCATTATCATAAATGATTCACTTTTGATTTCATTTCTACTGTTTTTTCAATATATTTCAGTTATGTCCACATGTCACGTTTAACCTATATAATTTATAATTTCTCCTCGTTGGCTTTGCCTTGCCTGAAACTAGTCACTGGAAAACAAAAATTTAACACAGTGGGTAGGACTAATACAACACATGACCAGTAGAGGTTTCATTTGATTAATTTTATTCAAAAGTGAGGAAATGGGAAATAAACATTTTGCACACAGCTAACACCAAGAAGCATTATGAACTCAACACTCCAATAGCATTCTGCTATGATGTCTGCAGGAGCTGAAGCAAATTTTGGCCTGTCCACGTCTAGCCGGCCATGGACGGGGACTTATTCAAGGGCTTTGGCCGCAAGCCTCCATCGCTGGAGCCACTGCTGCAGAGTCAGACCCCCTGTCGTCATCTCCGGCAGGGCAAACTGCGCTGGCTGCTCCCACCTGCAGACAGAGGAGAAAGGAAGGACAGACAAGACAAGGACAGATATCAGTAATGTCTGGTGCACAGGTGCCGAGCAGCACTGGCGAAACACCCCCACAGTGCTGATCTGGGGCTGAGGTTAGGGGTGCTGCAGTGCTCACCAGTGGCCAATGGCAGTTTTCACTTCAGCTGCAAACAGCAACGCCTGGGAGGTCCTCTGGCTCAACTGTTGGACCTGAGGCAAGACAGACTGGAGCAGCTCTTCATCCAGCTCCCGCACCTGCAGCAAGAGGGCTGGGGGTGGGAGGGCAGAGTGTGATCGGGGGGCGAATCAATGGGAATCAACAGCCGCAGCTGGGGAGTAGGAGGGGTGAACTTTCGTTTTACAGGGTGGTTTGGGAAAAGTCAATATTCATAAGAGAAGCTACCTTTCTCAAACCACCGTGTAAAACGAAAATTCGAGTGATTGACGATTCTGTCTCCATTACAGATTTACTTCCTGTGTCAAAGGTGAACAGGAAGAGGCCTCACCCGTAAGGTCGGGGGCACGCTGCTGAGCCCTCTGGTTTTGCAGGTCAGTCTGTGAGGCCGAGTACAGCTGGAGCAGCCGATGCAGGAATCGCAGCCGCAGCTGCTGGGAAACAGCCTGGGCACAGAGCTGCTCCGGAGCCTGGAGGGACAGGTGGATGGGGGTGAGGCCACTGGTGAACAGGGCGGGGCGTGTGAGGGGTTCAGCGAGAAGGGGGCTCACTTTGTACATCGGGAAAGCCAGGTTCTGGCAAAGGCTATGGAAGGTTCCGGAATGGAGGCGGTGAATTGAGAGCCACTCAGCTGGGACACGTTGCACACTGGAACAAATTTCATACAGAAAGCTAGTTTAGAAATCGGATTTACAGGTAATTGCTTGGTGAACATTTATTTGATATGACAGCCAAGCACGCAGCATTCCTCCGACACCCTGCTCCTCTCGCCAGGGCTGTGCAAAGGGCGGGGAACCTGCTTACCCGTCGAGCGTCCTGGCATCGAGAGCTGCCAGTGACACTCCTGCCATCTGCCGGACCCCCTGGGACACCGTGTTCCGCAGGTTCCCCGCCGCATCCAGCACGCTTTGGCACAAGGGAGCCACTTTACGCTGCGCAAAGTGCCCAACCTGAAGATGGGGCAGTGGGTCAAAGGCAGGCAGGGAAGGCGGGGAAAGAGTCTGAGGAAATACGTTTGCCACTAAACAAATGACCATTTAGCAACAGGCAATCGGTGGTATTTGGTTACAAAAAAAAATAGGGGGTTATGGTAGGAATGCGCGGTTAGCGGCGAGCGGACACACACCTCAGCGTGGACACGAGACACTGCGGTCTTGGCTGCAGAGTTCCCCTTGATCAGTCCCCTAATTTGCTCCTGCTTGTTGTCCTACAGCCACAGCAAGGTGAACGGTGATTAAAAGCACAAAAACATACAAGCTTGGTGCTCTGAGAGCACCTGGCCACAATAGGCTAATCCCACTGTCCATCACTGATTTATATTTTTATGATATTCATTTAGCAGACACTTTATGTAGAGTGATGTACAGCTGGGAAAGCAGACAAATCACTCCGTGACCACGGGATTTGTTCTGATCACGAGCGCAGCCTCCTAACCCACTGAACCAAACACCAGTGTGACCTTTCACCTTAACGGTGCTAACCAACCCTCTTCCACTTCCTCCCGAAACACAACCAAGAGAGCAGCTGTAGGCGTTGGCTTCAACCACAGGCATTACTCAGTTTAGAAAACTGGCCAAAAAGAAATGTCAAACAGGAAGTGTAGTCGGAACAGGAAGCGCAGACTCAGACTCACCACAAGTTGCCTGAAGTCCATGATGCTTTGCCACCGACTGCGCAGACCGTGGACGGCGTCCTGCCTGCGCCGGACCTGCTCCTCCAGCTGCTCGCACTGGCTTAGCACGCTGTCCCGTAATGCAGCCTTCATCACGCACTGCAGCTCCACCTCAAATGCCGCCCTGGCCCAGCAAAGTTAAGCATCCGCTTGGCAACGTGTCACGTTTTCTTATTGGAGTCAGTAACTGGGGGCCCTTCAGTCGACGTCTCACCCTCTACCTCACTAACGGGCCCCCGGGAACATTAGCAAAAGGTGTGATTAAAATGCACCACAGGTAGTACTTAAACTGGGAGTGAAACACACAGAAAAACCCATTTAAAGCATGGACAGACTTACTCTGCCAGCGCCTCAGTCTGGCCTTCACCGCCCAGCAGGTCCAGCGCCGCCTCCTTCTTGCGGGCATCTAGCTGGGTCTTCAGCTGCCGAAACCGGACCTGGGTCAGCGCCTGCTGTACGAAGATTTGCTCCACATCCTGCCAGCCCGACTGCCAGGAGACGGGGGGGGGGGGGGGGGGGGGGGGAGGTGTCACAGAGCCAGCAATGCAGACAGATGTGCTCGCAGTATACAGAGCAAATACTTTAACCATTTCTTTAAAGAACACCCCGGGAACTCATTCCTCACATTCCTGAAGAGGGCCTGGTCTACAGATTTTGGGGATTCTCCTACTAAATTTCTACAGATGATTAAAAATAAAAAACTGAACGAGTGAGGAAAGTTGAGAATTATTCATGCAAAACTGAGGTCACAGGAACACCGGTACCTGCAACAGAGACCTCACTGATGGCAATTCTTCATCCTGCCCTGAGATCCCCTGCAGGCTAGAGCTCTTGTAGTGATACCTGTGTCACACGTTAACAAGGCACAGTGTGAAACAGACAGTCTGACCACATCGAACAATGCAGGCACCCATCATTCCGTCAAACACTCAAGGGGAGCCTGCAGCCTATCACAGGGAGCACAGGTCTGGCGTGTTAATGAATACATTTTAATGAATAAACATACCACACAGAGAAATTTAATAGACTCCTTTGTAAACTGTTCTTGAAGTTTTGAACAGTCCTTTTACATCCCAGAAATACTGAATCAATAGACCCTTTTTCCAAGATGCATACGTTGTTTATTTTTAAGTTTACCCGAGTGCAGCCACCTCCTGTCCGACATCTAAAGTAGCCTGCTTCTCCTGCAGGGCCACCTGCTGGTGGGAGGCCAGGTGTTGCAAGGCAGACAGCAAATGGCTAGGAGGATGAGACTGCAGCAGGTCCTGATCACGAAGCAGGGAGACAGCAAGGCGAGCTGAAGCATTTGTTCTTATTCAACGGGCTCAAAAGGATCCATTTGTTTCACTCTGAATGCACTCCTGTTACTCTATAAGACCCTTAACTGTGACGACTGGGTGCATTTTAGAACCATAACATATTTACACAAGTTTTTTTTTTTTTTTTTTTTAAACAAGCCACAACTGCATATCAATAGCGACCCATTTACACGCCTGACCTCCACAGCGCTCAGCCAGTGCTGGAAAACCACCCCCCTCTGCTCACGGGACATGCTGGGAGGAGAGAACAAGAAACGCAGTCAGGGCCGAGTCCACAAGCAGGGTCCCGGGACACGCTGTGCCTGAGCTACGAAGCACCACTTACTGTACAGCTGAAGAAGGCACCCTCTTGAGCTCACTCTCCAGCAGAGAGCAGAAGAAGCTCACCCTCTCCTCAACCAGCTTCCTCACCGCACGCTGAGGATGAGTGAGAAACCTTGTTAGCTCCCTGGCAACCTAAGTGATGCAAGGACATCCAAACACTAGATGGCGCTGTGTGCAGGTGAACCAGGTACTTACAAGAACCTGAGGCTCTGGCCCCAAAGAGCTCAGGCTGTCACTGCTACTGTCATCGCCCCCGAACACCAACTCCACTTCTGCCTTCCTACAACAGGACACAAACTATCACTCAAAAAATGCTGGGGTTAAAAAGTCTGGAAGGTAACAAACAGCACCCCCACCTGGAGAGCCGGCTCAGGGTCTGGCAGTGGCCATTGAGTCTGCGGCAGTCCTGGTCCACCGAGCGGCGCTCGTCAGAACAGCGCTGCCTGGCCGCCTGCAGCAGAATATCCCTCTGGCGGCTGTCCCTGTCACTGTCCCAGCTGCGGCCAATGCACCTCTCTGCGGGGGGGGGGGGTGGGGACACACACACTGAGTCACGAGGCCGCATAACGGCAACACCGCAGCTAACCGCAACTTCACAGGAGTGCTTCTGTTCTGCACTGCTTATGGCAGGACGGCACACGACACAGCGACGTGCTGCCATCCCACTAGACCAAAGTCTCTCAGGACTGCCTGTGTGGAGTAAGAAGGACATGATTGCTGGGCTGTGCAAGCGAGCATCTCTGTGGCTGTGTGTGAGGGAGAGACAGAGAGACGGCTGCTGTGCTCTCTGACTTGCACAGACTTCTTAAACAGCTACAGAAAAATGGATGGATGGATGGATGGATGGCTCTCACCCTCAGCCTCAAGCTGAGCCTCATCTATGCTAATCTGGGCATCCAGCTGATTAAGCTCTGCTCTCAGCTCCTCAATATCCTTCTTCAGCCTCTCTTTCTTGGCCACCTCGCTCAGTCCCTCCACTCGCTGCACCTGGGGGAGCAAGATGCCACTAAAATGTCACATGCAGCCACTTCTACACAAACCATAAGCGAGCATGAGCATGTGCACACACACGCACAGGCACACAGGGAAAATGCCCTGTAATGACATCACAATGCCGCTAAGCTCCGAGGAGTCACACCCTCAGCGAGGCGCTGTCTCACCTCATTATCCTGCAGTGATTTGTACCTGGGAAGTCACACCATCAAGGAAAAAGAAAATCAACTCAGCTTCACCCCTCACAGCTGTGTGCTTCAGCAAACATCCGCGTGGACCGATCTCCGCCACATGCTGCTAAATTTAAAATTCAGGGTGATTCATGCGCCAATCGAGGCACTTTCACATCGGAGCACGGCTAAGGAAAAGGATACCATTGCAGATTCCCACGCATAATTCTGACATTTCTGCAGAAACAAAGGAGGGGGTTGACGTAACTTGGAAGAAACAGAGTCTGCTGAAAGAAACTAAAGGTCTAAATTAAACGAATACAGTAATCAGATCCGTTTACTCACCTCTGGTTGTAAACATGTTGAATGACATATTCCCAAATAGAGGAACCCCGTCCAAGGCACAGCCTAGGGAATCAGACAGATTTCAATTCTCATAAGACAAGGCATTCACAAGGTATCAGGAATACATTTACGTTTCTTCGGGACGGGATATCCTGCTACGCACGTTTTTAAATTGTCAGGAAGGAGGTATTTCGATGGCAGATTAAACTCCTCTGTAGCCCACCGCTTAATTTCCCGAGGAAGACTCCGGTCAGCCATGCTGGAAAGGCATCAGAAAACACGGGCGATAACCGCTGACGGCAAGCACTCTGTGTCCATCTATTGATAATTAAGAGATGCAATTTCGGGACTCGAAAGACAACGGAAACCCAAGCTGATATAACGACGTCTACACTAATTTACCAAGAGAGCTTACAACACCTCATCGCTCACCGAGACAATGAAGAAAACCGCAGAAAAGGAACTTACGATTTCTCAGCCAAATTAAAATGCTGAATAATTTAACTACTAAGTGGCGAAGTTAAAAACAGTTAGACACACCGCACCTTCTTATATTGGTTATTCCGTCCAAACTGAAGTGGGCTTATTTTGGAAGCAGTTCCAACTTCCCGCCATGTCGCGTAAGCTAGTTCAGCGTCATTTCCGGTGCACGCCTTGCTTCTGGGTAATGCAGTTTTCTATACTTTATCATATCCGGAGAAGTCACTCTAGCTGTGTTTCTGCATAGCTGCTTAAAGTACAGTGGTACATCAGAACTCGAAATTAATCCGTTCAGAACTCCGGATCGAATCCTAAAAAGTTCGAGTTCTGATCGAATTTTCCCCATAAGAAATAATGGAAAACCAATTAATTGGTTCCCGGCCCCAAAAAATTACACCATAATGTTATTTTAGCATTTAAACACAAAATTAATCGGATAAAACAAGAAAAGTATATACGGTACTAAACACATCTAAGCAAATTTATCAAAACAGTAATTTTTAAAGTAAGAAAATAAATGTATCCAAACAATGTGTAAAGTTTAAAAAATCGTCTGCGTTTGGCCTGCCTTACCTGTAATTAAACCCCGTATTCCCCGATACCCTGACGTCTGCTGCTGTGTCTCCGTTCCGTCCCCGTTGGGCACGACAATATTATTATAATTAAATGTATGACTGGTTTATTATTAATATTAAAATAATTAATAAGTATTCTTTTTTTAAAATGTACTTTATTATATAATTGCTGTTACTGTCTATCATTGTCTAAACGTATTTTACTGTCTAAATATATGTATTCAGCTAGTGTAAACATGCATGATGATATCACAGCTAATGAGAGGCTGAGACTGAAGCGTTACCCTGTTTCCGCTGAGAGACGTGCCACGTGACTCATTTCCCAGCGCATACAAGTTCTTAGGTCGGCGTTTACGTTTTGACTTGAGATTCAGATCGATTTCCAGGTAAAAAAAATTTCAAAGCTGCCCCTCTACTTAATTAGGAAGCGCTGGACAGTGAAGGTGTTGGAATTGAAAACGGAAAGGATCTGGATACCTGAAAACATCACAGACAAGACAAACATGGGCCAAAAATTAGAATTTATTCAGTTATGTCCATAAATTCTTTGAGTTTGTGTTAAACATTCTTTAAGCTGTTCAAGTTGGCAGTTATGATGTTAACTTTGCTGTTGCTAAGAAAAAATGAGACATACAAAATAAAAGAAAAAAAAACTCAGGACATAAAAACAGTAAGTCAGTGTTGAAATTTCTCTCACATTCAACCCAGATTGTAACACTGTCCACAAGTCAAATAAATAACATTCATTCCAATAGAAGCATGCCATTCAAGCGATCACAAACAAGAGCAACACGCACAGAAAAAATGACAAATGTCATTTTTCATATTGAGTGATTTTCCCCCAAATATCCTACTGTCTGATCAACTCGTGAAAAAAACAAACTTGAATTAGCTGAAACTCAAATATGCATGGAATTATAATACAATATGTACCTGGGAAATTCACCGTGAAACATGCAGACAATCCTATTTTAAACCTGGATTTGCATCTGGCAGTACAGCAGAACCACAAAGCACTGCCGATATTGTTCTGGGTTTAGCATGCATACTGACAGTGATCATAGCTTACCATCCTTTAGTGACCATCGTATGCAGGTTATGCGAGTGATTCACACAAGAACATGGCAGGATGATGAAAAGCAGCCAGGCTCAGCTCGTTAAAGCACGCCGATGCCACCAGCAATCACACGTACGGCAAGGAAACCAAAACGGCACACAGACCATTTAAAAAGGTCAAACTGATGAACAGAAATAGGTTTACATGACCAGGAATTTCACTGATTAGCCAAAGCTAGTGTAAAAGACGAACAGCCTTAAATTAGTTTTCCAACAAAATGGCCAAATTTTAACTAAAAATTGTTCGCATCCAACTGATTACCAACATCTTCCAACTGCTCAATCACTTTAAGTGAAGTGCTTTTATACATCAAAAATGTTGATTCTCTTTTCTACAGTTGAACTTTGATAGTAATTTTAGGTCCTCTGTAGCTTCCATTCCCTGATTTCCATAAAGAAATACAACCTAACAGTGAGACTTAAAAACACGTGTTTGCTTCAGCATATCCTAGAGTCTCCATTTGGCTCCACCTCATTCTTAAAAGAAAAAGAAAAAAAAGAAAAAATTTGCCCATCAGTGTCCAGGCCCGGTTATTTCAAGGTAATTGGTTTGCACCATGTTAAGGCTGGTTCGCGCAAAACTTGCTGTTCGCAACACACACACACGCGCACGCAATGGTATAAAACGGTACATAGAAAAAGAAAAGCCAAAACAATTAGAACAGAACTGTACATTTAACAAACAAAACAAAAATGACTTCCTTTGATTCTGTATTTGGCTGTCCCAAAATCAAGTCTCTTTGTAAACAAACAAAAATGAAGAGAATGGCCCCCACCACTCCTCTCCTGTTTGGGGGGGGGGGGGCGTGGCTTTGTGAGTGACAGTTATGCTCTGGCATCGGCATCCTGTCTCTGTGAAATGTGACGCTGCTCCCCCCAGAGCACCGCGCTGTACTACCGTATCCGGGTGAAGAGATTCAAAACAGACACAGATTCCTGCAAACGAAACAGACCGATTACAAGCTGCAGAGCACTGCAAATTCAACACACACACACACACAGTTCATATATTCCTATCTTCGTGGAGACTCTCCATTTCTATAAGCATAACTGTAATCCTAAGTATGATAACCCTAACCTCTACCCAGCCCAAACCTTAAGCATAAGTAAACAAATAAAGTACAAAACTTTTGGCTATTTTAGGTTTTTTTGATTGCATTCACCGACATTTATAATATTAAGGTTTATATTGAGAGGACCTGAAAAATGTCCCCACAAGCTAAAACACATTCTCTCTCGCTCGCTCTCTCTCTCTCACACACACACACACACACACACACACA